GCTCGTAGATGATGATAAATAACATAGTTATGTATAATATATTACATTTCTGACTGTATATCCCTGTAATTATTACACACTGTAGCTTTAAACTGTTTTTAATTGTTTATTGAGGTGTGTGAATTCACCAAAAGCGTCTCTTTTTTTAATATTTCTGCGAATTAGAAAATGAATATATAGACAAGTGGATTACTGCAATAATGTCTGCCTGCACCACTTTCCATCCCAGAAACAAAGCAGACATTAAAAACGTCTGGATCCTGACCTTTGACCTCTGGATCCTCCCCATCTGCAGCCTCACCTGCTCACCTCGCTCCCAGATCAGCTGCAGCCTCACCCAGCTGCACTCCCCCCCCCCCCATCAGGCCCCTGTCAGGAGACCGAGCGCCCATGAAACTGGGACTGAGTCACATGACAGACATCATAAACTCAAAGCAAACAGCTTAGATGCAAACAGATTAGAATGTCTGCTGCCCCCCCGGAGGGCAGCAGACATTCTCCAAACTTCTTCCTGTTTCTGCTAAAGGAACTGAAAATTGAAGGAGAAAACCAGTTTCCACTGCGCTGCTCTCTACCAGTAGTCGTGTTTTTATTGCCATGTTCCAAATGTGGATTTTTTTTTTGGATCTTAATCACAATGTCTGCAATTTGATAGTGAGTTTAAACACAGGTTTTAAACGCTTTGATCCTTTTAAATAACTGAGTATTATTGGTATTAACGGGTTATTGAATGATGACTTTATTCTCGTCATAAAAAATAAAAAAATCTCTAGCTAGGCTCTAATACTTTATTGTACATTTAGGCTCATTTACTTTGGGTTTTATATATACTTTTTAGTTGTTTTTTTAAAAATGACCAGACTGCTTTAGATGCCTTTCCATCATTAAATGGAAACGTTTAAAAAAAAGTTTTTTGTATAAATTCTAGCCTAAATTTAATCTGCAATCAACATTTATTCAATAATTTGAAAAGAAATTCATGTGAAACAGGATGTGTTTAAAATTCAGATTAAAAACCTTGATTAATTTGATGTTTAAGGCATCCAGTGCAAAGCGTGTTCTAAAGGCACGCCGTCATGTGACCATCTCTGTGGTCTTAGAGGTTCCTAGGTGCACGGTGTGGAAAGTCAGTCAACGCGCTCGCGGCCCCCAGAGGGGCCTGCAGGATAAACATGACATATTTAGACTGAGCGGATGAGTGGAGCATAAAGCAAACATCAGCAGTGAATAACGAATAACATCTAAATGATTGAGGGAATATTTCCCATTAGGCAACACTTGTTAGCTGCTTAGGGCCCCATAAAACTCTGTTTCCATGTATGGTTAATACAACTATTCCTTATTTCTGCACATTAATTATGTTTTTAATAAAAATCCTTTCACTAAAATGCCATCAGAACGCTGATAATATTAAGAGTGTCTCAGCCACCCCCCCCTTCCGTGTCCACCATATTGGATCAGTCCATTTGCTGCACATGTTCAGAAAGGTCCAAACAGACAGCAGCAAACCATTTGAAAACAAACCATGCAAAGAGCAGTGTTGCCAACTTAGCGCTTTAGTCGCTATATTTAGCCACTTTTCAGACCCCTCTAGCACTTTGATTTCTAGAAAGTGTCTAGCGCCAAATCTAGCGACTTTTTTCTGCTACTGGAGACTTTGGAGACAACATCTAAAAGCAGCGAACTCTGCTCTCCAGAGCAAGTAGATTGGTAACCCCGCCTCCTGCTCTCCTCTATCTTGTCTTCTGTCATGATTCATGCAGCTATTATTTCATCCAAATGAAAAATGGAGAACAGAGAAGCAGATCATGGCTTGTCTACAGTGAAAAGAAGGACTGGGTTATTTACTTTGGCCTTTTTGGAAACACAGGAAGGAGCAATCAGCTAAGTGAGCTTAGTGCTTGGAAAAAATCTTTCATTCCTTTAGAGACAGCATGAAAAGTCAGCTGAGTACAAAACATAGAGAGGAAAACAAGAAGAAAAGGGACAAGAAGAGAGGGACACAACCTAGAACAGATAATGGATGTCTATTCTATTAACATTTCTCTATCTGGATAATGGGTCTGATCTATGTGTTGTCTTCTGAATTCAGAGGGGCCCCCTGCCTGTCTTTGTCTAGGATCCCAGATTTCCTATATCCGTCCCTGTGTCCCACTATAGATGCTCAGTCTGCTGGGGGGGGGGCTGCTCATCTTCTACCACCAACCTGCTCATCGAGTCACGCGGCAGTCAGCTGGACTTCAGAGGAACAACTTCCGTCGGAAACAAACATTCCTCTTTGATAGGCCGCAGGTGAATTAAAGCCAGAGATGAAAGGCCCGCATCAGGTCAGCCATGTTAGCATTAGCATTAGCTTCTTCAGCCGCTGGCAGGAAGGTGGGGCCCGGAGTCAGAGACTCTCAGTGGGGGGTTACCTGCAGCGATGGAGGCCCCTCAGCTAAGCCGCATGTTGGAGCCAAAGCCTCCCAGGAGCTCCGACCTGCGGGCCGCTGAGCAGCTGCGGCGTCAGGCTGCCTCCTCACCGGAAGGGGAGCTTTTCATCAAGACGCTGGAGCTCCGCTGGAAAAAGCTTCTAAAGTTACCCGGATCAAAGAGCGACTGACCATATGAACCAGTGGAACCAGTGACAGGAGCTCAACTGGAGCTGGGCTTCCCTGTTTACCCTGCTAAGGTTATACTGCCCCCTACTGGTCACAGAGCAGAACATCCAGAGCCTCCGCCATGATGTCACCCATAGGCCCGCATGGACGCCATCTTAGGGCGGTCTCAGCTCTGCTCACAGAATCAGTTTTAATCAACTTTAACTTTCTGAATATTGAACCAATTTTCAGTTTTGTTTTTTTTTATGCTGAAAACAAACAAATGTTTCAGTTTATTTTAAATATTCTTAGTGGGAAATAATCTGATAGGATGGATTCATGTTGCAAAGCACAGCCACTCAAATTTTATACTGTAAAAATGTCCACAGTTACAATTTATAATAGTAAAAACACTTTATTTACTTTTTATATTTATTCATCTACATTTTCAGTGTTATTTTCACTTTAGATTATAATTAGGGAAACAATTATTGCTAATCCTAATCCTCTAAGAGCAGCAATCACTCCTTTCCCCCCCACTTTAAAGGGCAACCTTCACCCTAAAAAGACAAGCGTAACATAGATTAGTCAGTTTAATGTTTCGTTGCTGTCTAAAATGAAAGCATTGTACAAATAAGCAAGTGAAGTTCAAACGGAAACCGTGGAATCAATTTTTGGGTAAATTTGAATTCTACCATTTTCTTTATCATCACTGGAAAAGTGGGAAAATCCTGACAGAAAAAGGTCTGGATGATGCAAAGCCACATCTGTAGAAGACAGGATTCTGAGAGTTTGCAGACCGTATGATGAGCAGCTTCAGGGACAGCAGTGAATACCTTCATATAGCAGCTGTATCCTGAAGAAGACTGCAGCAAGAACGCAAGAGTTAAAGGAATAGTACACCCAAAACATGATTAGCCTTCATTTTCTACTCACCCCCATGCTGAACAACACTCTGGAGTA